GAAACACTGGACAATGTCATTCTTGGGCAAATGCCGAAGCGTATAATTGTCGGTTTTGTGGATAACAGCAAGCATTTAACGGTGCCCGACATTTAAATCCGTTCAATTTCCAGCATTATGGAATAAATTTCTTTTCGCTGTATGTCGGTGGAACTCAAATCCTTAGCAGGCCGTTACAGCCGAAATTCTCTGGTAACGAGATGCTCTACGCCGAGGCGTATCACACCCTTTTCTCGGGAAAATCACTCGGGTATTCACTTTTTGAACGAAACTAATTCTATATCCAGAGAAGATTATCCTGCTGGTTATACTCTTTTCGCCTTCGATCTCACTCCTGATCTATCAGGTAATTGCGCTGCTCAATGGAACCTTGTGAAACATGGTAGTTTGCGAATGGAAGTACGCTTCGAAAAAGCTCTCACAACAACGATCAACTGCTTAGTTTATGCTGAATTTGAAAGCGTGCTGGAAATAGATTCTTCTCGTCAAGTCATTGTAGATTATAGCGGTTAAAATGAGTCCCCACTTTTCTTTTCAACGTCATTTCCCTTCCAATGTAAAGATTTTCAATATCATAACCCTCCTGAGTAAAAGTTTTGAGAAAAGAGCCCAGTCGATTTCGAGACGTGAAAAGTATAGTTTCGGGAAAGCAAAATTGAGTATACAGAGAGTATACAGAGGGAACATGGATGTCATTATCGAAGTACAATGTTTCCGCGATAGCAACGATGTCTACATGCTCAAGGAGGTGGCTATTGTCGGTATTAATGAGTCATTCGTCGGTCATTGGATCTTAGCTCCAGAGTATTCATTTGTGGAATTGAATGAAAAATCAAGACGTATAAATAACTGACTTTCACAGCATTATCATGGTATCGAGTGGTACGATGGAGAGAGTAATCCGAAATATTTTTATCCGCGCTTGCGTGAAATTACGAAACATATTCGTGACTTCATGACAAAGGGCAGGGAAAAAGCGAGCTACTTGCAAAATTTACTAGCCCGAAACGTGTATAATCTGGAGAATATCTCGCCGATGTCCAATGATCTTTCATCCAGCGAACTTGTAGAAGCTTGCTCATTCCACGCATTTAGAAAATACAGTCGTTATCATTGTGCATTACACAACGCATACAAATTGAAACACTGGTACATCGAACAAAGCCAAATCAACATCAGGAAACGTGACAGCGTCTATGTAGCTCAGTGCTTGTCCTCCAAAATTGGCGAGGAAGAGAGTGAAAATAGTTATTCCTACAAATCGGGGGGTGAAGAGTCATCGTCTGAAGAAGAGGAAAACGAAACAAATACCAGGTTGGAACATCCAGTCGAACCATCGAGAACTATAACAATCACGTTACCAGAGGTAAAACGAAATTATATGAATTCGCTCGAAATTCAACACGCACTGCAACATCTCAACGCCAGATACACAGGCGTCTATCCAGCCGACAGACTACCGAGGGTGTGGACGAGATCGACGGCAATAGTCGCTAATACAGACAATCACGACCGTCCAGGACAGCACTGGGTTGCATTCTACATCGATCAGAATGGAGCAGCTACATACTTTGACAGCTACGGGATGCCGCCCTGGGACTCGCGATTTCTCCTGCGTCTTAGAAGAAATTCCACCATTTACCGATGGAATACCTTTCAGTTACAGGGTCTCTTATCGACAACTTGTGGTCATTATTGTTGTATTTTTCTCTACTTTATGTGCAGGGGTTATAACCTCAATACCTTTAAAAATTTGTTTACCAATGATTGCGAACGAAACGATCAGCTAATTGTACGATTGTATAAGAAAATCTTTTGTCAATGTAAGCGCAAATCGCTAGATCATCATATCCCTATGTACCAGGTTCAATCCTGACAATTAGAAAAATGTATAAGAATAAAATGTGAATTTTATAAAAATGTTGTATATTTCTTTCTCTCCATCTCTTTTTTCTTCCCCAGCGTTCTCCAATTCGTTGTAACAAAACCCAACTTAACTTACTTTTTCGAATTCGAAAGCGATGGGGACACACAGATAAGTAGTACGATGGTAAGACGGCTTAATTCGAGAGTCAGAGGCTCCGGTTCGAATCCAACAGAGGGCCTTACAGGGTTTTTTTCAAAACTTGTGACGTCAATACTTTCCGTATATAGACGATATAGCTAGTTTCCATCAGGGTATAACGGTGGTATAGTGGTAAGACGCGTAACTCAAGAGCCAGAGGTCCCAGGTTTGAATCCACCAAGACCTACAGAGTTTTTCTAAAACCTATGACGCCGATACTTTCCATATGTATGCTATATAACTAGTTTCCATCAGGGTATAGCGGTAGCGTAGTGGTAAGACGCGTGACTCAAGAGCCTGAGATGCCAGGTTCGAATCCAGCAAGAGACACCTTACAGAGTTTTTCCAAAACCTTGTGACGTCGATACTTTCCGTATGTAGGCTAAATAACTAGTTTCCATCAGAGTATAGCCAGTAGCGTAGTAGTAAGACGCGTGACTCCAAGAGCCCCCAGAGGTCCCAGGTTCGAATCCGGCACAGCTCCACAGAGTTTTTCCGCAAATGCAATATGCAAATTAAGTAGCTGATCAAGAGTCAGAATTGTCAACTCTCTAATAATGACGGTCATAATTTGCTTATTTCAAAAGTCGATTAGTTTTTGCCCGTGGGCAGGTATGGCCCGTCAAAACATTCCCCCTCCACTCGATCCGCCGGCGCCGGTGGGCGTGGTTTAGCGGCGCCGGCGGGTCGAGTGGAGGGGGAATGTTTTGACGGGCCATACCTGCCCACATACTACTCACAGATGCAGAATTTTCTAGGAGAAAAATTTTTTCAGAAATCGGTCAATTTCTTGAGAGTTCTGGTAGCCCCTCGAAGAGTTCTATCGGTTTTCCTTATGACTCGAATCGATTCGAGCAGAAATGAAAAAGTTCTAGCTCATCAAAGTATCGCAGATGCCGAATTTTCTAAGAGAAAAATTTTTTGCGGAAATCGGTCAATTTCTTGAGAATTCTGGTAGCCCCTCGAAGAGTTCTATCGGTTTTCCTTATGACTCGAATCGATTCGAGCAGAAATGAAAAAGTTCTAGCTCATCAAAGTATCGCAGATGCCGAATTTTCTAAGAGAAAAATTTTTTTCGGAAATCGGTCAATTTCTTGAGAATTCTGGTAGCCCTCCGAAGAGTTCCATCGATTTTCTTTAAGCATCAAAGCGCTAAAGTTTAAGGTAAGAAAGTTATGACCTTTTGAAGTTTACGCAATTGTGAAGTTGGTCCCCCCATAACTTTATTTCGTGTTTTGACCACTTTAATCAACGGAACTCTTTTTTTTATTAATAGAAAACTCTAGAACTCTTTGGGGGGCAGTCAGAACTCTGCTCTTTTTTTTCAAATTTTGAAAAGGTGGGGCCAACTTCACAGAAGTGTTCAGACTGATCACTCAAACAACAAAAGAAGAGCTCAGCAGAGACTCGCGCTTCTGACGATAACGCCGATTGCAGTGCTCTCAGCTCGCCGTTTTTTGAGGGACATTGGAATGCCCAAAATTATTTGTTTAGAAGATAAAGAAATGTATGTGTCTACTGGTCGCACAGATGGCGACATAAGAGTGCACATAGACTGTACGTACAATGTCCGCCGGTCGCGCAGAAGACGATGAGAGGCATATACAATACACGTACAATGTCGACCAGAAGGCGCAGGCACAAATACGAATGTTCAATATATGCCGGTTGCAAGAATAGCGACGGCAAAAAAGCAGCGCGCACAACGACACAATTACACAATGTCCGCCGATCACACGGAAACGATGGCAAGAGAACAGACACGCATTAACTCGCGCGTGAACTATGCCCGCCGATCGCACGGATGATGAAAAAGAAGTTGGCACGTACTAACACGCGCGGACAGGAATGACCGATACCGCGATGGTCGTTCAGTGAGCTCAGGTCCCCTTTCGTAAGAATGTTCGCGAAACTCGCGATCACGCGATCATGCGATTGGGTGATGCGTAAACTAATCGAGGAGCTCGGACGAAACACGTGATTCGTCATCGACCCGCGATCGTATAATACGGGATGTCCCGATCAAACAATATCCAAACACGCATAAATCAATAATATTTCAGTGTAACATCTGACTAATAATTCATTTGTACCAACATACAAAATATATGTGGATGAAATAAATTGTATTTTAATCAACAAGAGAATGCATATGTATTGATCATAATGATATTAATTGTGTAGTTGATTTGCTTTAAGTATTTTATCTAATTAAATTAACAGCATTGTATGTGTCAGGTGTTATAGTTAAATATTATTGAATCGTACGCATTTTTTGTTTAAAAGAAACAAAAATAGTTTCATATTGATTATATCTCCGCTTGATACAATTAAAACACAAAAATATCAATGATTATATGTGTTGATTGCATTAAGCTGATGTATAATCAATGTACAAACATTTCTATTTTCTCTAAAAACAATTATGTATGAATCAATAATATTTAAGTGTAACATCTAACAAATAATTCATTTGTACTAATATATATAAAATATATAGATAAAATTAATTGTATTTCAAACAACAAAATAATGCAAATCTATTAACCGCATTAACGTCAACCCTACCGTTAATTTACTTTAATTATTTCACATAGTTGAGCCGACAGCAGATATAGTTACATGGATTACATTATACTGAATTATATATCTAGCAAGTTATTTAATTTAAATGTAATTATAATGAAGAAAGATGTGTATAGAATGAGTAAATAGGTGATTGACCTAAATAATAAATAGGTAATACAATAAAATTTTTCAAATACAGTAATATTATTAGATCAAATAATGAATTATTAAAACAAGTATTAGATGTTTTTCGTTCATTAATATTGTTATCGCGTCAACCAAATTGATTTCAATTATACTGATGCTGTTGATACAACATCATTTTTTTTTCCGTATAGAAAGTTATTACGGAAAGTAGCATATTGTTTGGCTATCGCACGAATTCCCGCCACGTGGTAAGTAGTTGCCGCGTCCTATGGGCAGGAGCCATTAGTATATTTCTACGACAAAGAACAATAAAGGCAAAAAATTGCAGACAGCACAATGTCCGAAACTGGGACATAAGACGTCTTTAAAACGTCTTTTAGACATATTAAAGACGTCTTAGGTTCCGTTTTTTGACATTAGTGCTGTCTGCGAATATTGAGTAACATTTAATACCAATTATTGACTCCGAAAGTTTCGATTTTTTTAAAGATAACTTTTTTTTGTCCTATCCACGTATATGCCTGCGCAACTTCGTAGCCAATGGTTTGCGACATTATATGTCTTACATTTTTAGCTACAGTTTCTCCGCCTATTTGTGACATTTTCTCAATCTGTAATAAATATATTTCAAATCATATGATATATATTCAAAAAGTTTCACTTCATGTACAGCAATTATAATGCATATTTGTGTTTGTTCCGGATTCACCGTGAGCCACGACCAAAGCGAGCGTCAATTTGGATTTTGAGCGAGGAATCGACCAGCGACTTCCTCGCGTGTAAACGTCACGCGTGGCGCTTGATAGAATCGTGGTCCGCATCTGCCGCCATTTAAATCCTCGTTCAAAACAACCGTGATTCTAAGTTTGTTGTCCCGCGAAAACATCAGCAATCGCAAACTCGCAACGAAGGTAGCGGACGGTTAGCTTTGCGACCACGAATCGAGCAGCTGATCGACGCACGGCCAATCCGCATTCGCCAGATCAGAAATAGAACCGATAAAGTTGCGTTAACATGGCCACTGTTTTGATTCCGTTCTCGCATTCAAACCGCACCGGCAGTCAACGTTCTCAGCTCGCGAAAAAAGTCATTACGATTTCCGCTGTTATCGCGCTCTTGGTTAATTACCGCCTAGTGCGATCGCCTTCATCAATCAATTTTCTTTGAGTTTTGTTTTGTTATTGAGTTTGTCCTTGCGTTGGAATGTACCGTCGTTGCAACGACGAATAAAGAAGTGATTCTGGAAGTATACGAGTTCTGACCACCACCATCACACGTCCTCGTCGCGGCTACCGTAACAACAAGCGCGCCTCCACGTTCATTGCTGAGCAGTCCCGGCAATCTACGTGTGCTAACCGTTTGCACGGACGCTCACGAACATTTTGGTCCTTCGAGCCGGATCGGAGAGCGTGTGAGGACACCGGTCATTCTTCTCGATCGAGGGAACGCGTGTGAGAGGTCAGAAGCGACATCATGACCGAGGCCCTGGCTCGACAGCAGCAGTTGCAGCGGTCAATCGAACGCGCCCTCGACAATTTCAAAAAATTAGGGCGCAGCAAAGGTGCGATCGAGAATTTCCTCCTTAAAAGAATTCTGGCTCCATTATCTCGATGGCCACGCCGCGCTCATAAGGACGGTTCCATCGGCTACCAAGCCGTCCATCAACTACTTCCACGACAACCAGTTCGAGGCCACTGAGGAGGTCTACCAAGCTTCGCTCGACTACATGGCGGAGTGTTTGGAGGAATTGGAGCCGCACGTTGGATCGCATCGTCGAAACAATAAGTCCGAATTTGCATCCAATCAATCTGCCATTTCGTTGGCCCATCTTCCGCCTATCAAGCTTCCGCCGTTCGACGGCGCCGTGAACGAGTGGGAGCAATTTCGCGATCGTTTCACCGCGCTTATAATAAATAATAAAGACATCTCAGATTTCGCACGAATGCACTTTCTAATGTCGTGTCTGCACGGGCGCGCTCTCGAGTGCATTGCTAGCCTTGCCGTCACAGCCGATAATTTTGTAATCGCGTGGCAAACGTTGACGGAGCGTTTCGAAAATAAACGCCGGTTGCTGTCTACGTACCTCAATACGCTGCTTAACTTGCCCTCGTTAACGCGAGAATCAGCTAGCGAATTGCAATCGCTATATGATAAGGTGAACGTCGCGATCGCCTCTCTCAACAGCTTAAAACGAACACCGGAACAGCTGTGGAGCGACGCTCTCGTACATATCGTGAATCGAACTCTGGACTCGGTAACGCGCAAGGCGTGGAATCTCCGCGCGAGCGACAGTGATGATTTGCCGTCTTTTCTCGAGCTGAATCAATTTCTCGCGACCAGGCTTCGTACTCTAGAAGAATTTTCAAATGGCTCGTCCGGCCGCTTAACCGGCAGACCAGCCGTCTCGCGCGCGCATCTCGCGACCGCCTCCGACGCGACTCGGAACCAGTGCCCGCTCTGCAAGGCGCATCATTATTTTAGCGCGTGTCCTTCCTTCATGCGTGAAAATCCGAGCCAGCGTCGTGCGATTGTTAAGCGACATCGTCGCTGCTTTAATTGCTTGAGCCAGAATCATTCCGCGCAAGAGTGCAAGAGCAAATATACATGCAGAGTGTGCCATCAACGGCATCACTCTCTGTTGCACCTGCCCGCGGAATCCGGCGCCGTAGCTGCTTCTCAGCCGCCGGTAGGGCTCGATCAAGCGCCGTCGTTGGTCGAGCCGCGTGCCGAGGTGCAATCGCTGTTTGCTGCGACTGCTGCCGCCCCGCGCGGGTACTCTTGGCGACCGCTTGGATTAGGGTCGGCACGACGGGCGGTCGATCGGCCAGAGTTCGAGCTCTGCTTGACCAGGGCTCCGAGATCACCTTCATTTCGGCAAAACTCGCGAAAACCCTGCGGGCGAAGCGCGTTCGCATGCCGGTCGCGGTCTCGGCAGTCGGCTGCGTGAGCGCCGGCACCTTCCGTTTCGCGACCAAGATTGTTGTGAGTCCTCAGAATTCGCTGTCTCCGTCATTTACCACTACCGCCTTGATATTGGATGTGCTTACGGCGTACTCGCCGAGTTCGGCCGCTGACGCTGCGCCTCTGTCACATTTGGCCGATTTGCCTTGGGCTGACTCGAATCCTACCGGCTCCGAGCCGATCGACATCATAATCGGCGCCGACCTCTATAGCGATCTCCTCAAAGACGGGCTTCGCAGGGGTGCGGTCGGAAAGCCGGTAGATCAGAATTCAATTTTCGGTTGGATAATCTCGGGGCCGATCCGCGATTCCCGAGGAACCGCGAGAGCCGCGCGTTCGCATCGTGATGCTGCTCCGTTGCCGGGTCGACTTGCCGTTCATCACAGCATCGCGACCACTTCGCTCAGCGACGATCTCCGGCGATTTTGGGAGATCGAGGAGGTAATCAATGTCTCGCCACGCGCGCCGGAGGACGAGATAAACGAAACACACTTCCGATCAACGCATTCTCGCGCATCGGACGGGCGCTATATCGTACGGCTTCCGTTCAAAGCCGGCTCGCCCATCGCTATCGGCGAATCTCGCATTCGCGCCGTTAAAAATCTCGCGTCACTGCAGCATCGACTCCGCCGTCAGCCGGATCAGTATCGCGAGTATTGCGAATTTTTACGCGAGTACGAGACCTTGGGGCATATGCGTTGGGCGCCCGCTTCTCTCGAAACGAACGATCAGCATGTTTACATTCCGCATCATGCAGTCTTTCGCGCTCAAAGCGCCACGACTCGTTTGCGCGTCGTGTTCAACGCCTCGAGTCTTACCTCGAACGGGTCGAGTCTAAACGACCATTTGATCGCGGGTCCGAAATTACAAGCGGAGCTACCGGCCGTCGTGCTCCGCTGGCGGAATTTCAAGTACGTGTATACCGCTGACATCGCGAAGATGTACCGCCAGATTCGCATCGACGATCGGACGTGGATTACCAAAGAATCCTATGGCACGAGTCCTCTACTGATCCACCGATCGAATATCAGTTGTGTACCGTTACGTACGGAATGGCATGCGCCCAGTTCCTCGCGTTACGGGTCATCCAACAATTGGTCTGCGATGACAGTTCTCGTTATCCACGCGCCGCGTCTATTCTAACGAACAACGTGTACGTCGATGATGTGTTGTTCGGAGGTGACTCGCAGCCGCTCTTGCGCAAGTCGCGCGATCAGCTGATCGCGCTCCTTCGTCACGGCGGGTTCGAGTTGCGTAAATGGGCGAGCAACTCGCCAATCCTCCTCGACGATCTCGCTGAGAAGAACCACGGTCTCGCTTGCTCAAAGTCACTCGCGACCGACGAACATTTGAAGATCCTCGGGATCGGATGGAATCCGTCTCTCGACGTTTTCCAAATTAACGTGTCATTGCTCGACGAACCAGTAAACGGGAAATTTTGTCCGCAATTGCACGCCTCTATGACCCATTGGGATGGGTCACGCCGGTAACGATAACCGCGAAGATTTTTATGCAGCAATTGTGGCGGCACAATCTCGACTGGGACGACGACGTTCCGGAGAACCTTCGCGCTCGGTGGCAGCGCATTTATTCGGAGTTGTCGGCTCTCGATGGCGTGCGAATCCCTCGGTGGACGAGATGGGGAGGCGGTGATGTTGACGTGGAGCTGCACGGGTTCGCCGATGCTTCAACGTTGCATACGCTGCAGTCGTGTATATGAAGGTCCGTCGCTCCGATAGCTATACGATTAGCATTATAGCGGGTAAATCAAGAGTCGCCCCGCTCAAACCTCTTAGTATCCCACGTCTTGAGTTATCGGCCGCGTTGCTGCTCGCACAACTTGTCGAGTTGCGTGGGTCTCTCAATCTCCGGGACGTTTCGTGCTTTTGTTGGACGGATTCTACCGTAGTGCTTACATGGCTCTCTAATCATCCGTCTCGATGGAAGAGCTTCGTCGCGAATCGCGTGGCAGATGTCCAGTCTCAGCTTCCCGGTGTTTCGTTGCATCACGTTCCGACGGAAGACAATCCCGCCGACTGTGCCTCGCGGAGTGTATTCGGAAGCGAGATTTGCGACCATTCACTGTGGTGGCGCGGGCCGAGGTGGCTGTCGGGGTCGACGGCCGAATGGCCACTCAGCAACGTCGGTTCGCCTGCGGAGACATTGCTCGAGGAAAAAATCGTGACGCTGAATGCCGTTCAGCTTCCTGCGAACTGGGACCTGGCATCGCGTTATTCCTCGTGGCCGCGGTTGCTTCGAGTCACCGCGTATATTTTTCGATTTGTATCTCTATGTCGGCGGAAACCATTCAATTGTCAGAGCTCTGAGGCGAAGGGTCTCGCCCTGTCCGCTGGCGAGGTTGATCGTGCGCGGCATTTCTAGCTGAAAGGAATTCAGTCAGAACTTTTTGATGTTGAGCTTCACTCGCTCTCAATTCAACGACCTTTCCCGGCCAAGAGCGCGCTCCTCGCCTTGCGACCGTTTCTTGATCGCGACGGTCTGATTCGCGTCGGCGGGCGGATAAATCGCGCTCCACTCTCGTTCTCAACGCGCCATCCGATCGTTCTCGCCTCGCATCCGCTCGTCAAATTAATTATCGATAACGCTCACAGTCAAGCTCTGCATTCTGGCGTTCAACTGACGATGAACATTTTGCGTCGCCAATTCTGGCTGGTTCGCGCGCGCAGTTTGATTCGCGAGCGCATCCACCGCTGTGTCGTATACGTTCGTGAACGCGCCGCGGTGCCCACACAGTTGATGGGAAGTCTTCCGGACGTTCGTGTCTCGGCTCCGCTTCGATGTTTTAGTCATATTGGACTGGATTACGCCGGACCTGTGGCTGTTCGTGCCTCTGCCGGTCGCGGAATCGCGTCGCGAAAGGCCTATATCGCGCTCTTCATTTGCTTGGCGACGCGAGCCGTGCATTTGGAGCTGGTATCCTCGTATACCACTCAAGCCTTCTTGAACGCTTACTCACATTTTTGTGCGCGACGTGGGCTTCCGAATTCGGTCTATTCCGACAATGGCACGACATTCGTCGGGGCGGATCGAGAGCTGACCGCCGCGTATCGCGCGGCTATCCGAGATCCGACATTCCAAAACAAAACCGCTGCAGATAAAGTGTTGTGGCACTTCATTCCCCCGTCCGCCCCACATTTCGGTGGGCTTTGGGAGGCCGGCATTAAAAGCGTAAAGCAGCATTTGCGTCGGGTTGTCGGAGGACACACTCTCACGTTCGAGGAGATGACGACTTTCTTATGCAAAATCGAGGCGTGTCTGAACTCGCGTCCGATCGCCCCTTTATCGGATTCGCTTGAAGATTACGAGCCGTTAACGCCGGGCCATTTTTTAATCGCGATTGCCGTTCCTCCTGAACCGTCGTTGTTGGAAGTTCAGGAGAGTCGACTCACGCGGTGGCAGCTGGTCCGGCAGATGACGCAGCGGTTCTGGAAGCTGTGGTACCACGATTATGTTAATACGCTCCAGCAGCGCAGTACATGGCGGAAAATACAACCTCCAATTAAAATTGGGCGCCTCATGCTGATTCGGAGTCAGCTTCTTCCTCCGTGTAAGTGGGAGCTCGGTCGAATGACTCAATGTCACCCGGGAGCGAATGGATTAGTCCGCGTCGTCACCGTGAAAACAGCGAATTCTGAGTACAAGCGGCCTTTGGTAAAATTGTGCTTATTACCGATCGATTGCACTAACCCATAGGCAATATCGGCTCAGCGAGGTGGATTTCGAAACTGCCGTTTCAAGGCGGGCGATATGTTCGGGATTCACCGTGAGCCACGACCAAAGCGAGCGTCAATTTGGATTTTGAGCGAGGAATCGACCAGCGACTTCCTCGCGTGTAAACATCACGCGTGGCGCTTGATAGAATCGTGGTCCGCATCTGCCGCCGCTTAAATCCTCGTTCAAAACAACCGTGATTCTAAGTTTGTTGTCCCGCGAAAACATCGGCAATCGCAAACTCGCAACAAAGGTAGCGGACGGCTTTGCGACCACGAATCGAGCAGCTGATCGACGCACGGCCAATCCGCATTCGCCAGATCAGAAGTAGAACCGATAAAGTTGCGCTAACATGGCCACTGTTTTGATTCCGCTCTCGCATTCAAACCGCACCGGCAGTCAACGTTCTCAGCTCGCGAAAAAAGTCATTACGATTTCCGCTGTTATCGCGCTCTTGGTTGATTACCGCCTAGTGCGATCGCCTTCATCAATCAATTTTCTTTGAGTTTTGTTTTGTTATTGAGTTTGTCTTTGCGTTGGAATGTACCGTCGTTGCAACGACGAATAAAGAAGTGATTCCGGAAATATACGAGTTCTGACCACCACCACCACATGTCCTCGTCACGGCTACCGTAACAACAAGCGCGCCTCCGCGTTTATTGCTGAGCGGTCCCGGCAATCTACGTGTGCTAACCGTTTGCACGGACGCTCACGAACAGTGTTAATAATTAGCAAATAACTAATATACGTACAAATTGTCGCCGAACGTTATCATCCTTCAAAAGGTTATTGAAATTTTCTACTTCTTCCATCGTACTGAGAGGAAAATTCGGTAATAAAGAGAAATTAATTTGTCGTTGTACATTATGTTGTACTTCTTTTGAATTTTCCAGAAAATGAATAATCCGGTTGAGTTTACGTTCAAGTGTCATAAATTTTGAATAATATCCTCGCCGACATTTTTCTAAACAACAGAGATAAAAGAATCAAGTGATTAACATTATTGAATTAAACTATTATAATAATTCGTAATAATCTTTTGTTCTGCATTATATTTACTAGTGATGTAAATAAAATAAAATTTACCACAACAAGATGTGTGTTCTGAATCTATCGATTGCTTTTCTAAATTTTCTTTATTGTTTATATTATTTCCAGATGAATTTAGTCCACGCATGTCGTGTATTTCACGAATTGAAGTGCTTATAGAAGGGTAATTTCTCGTATCTAAAAATATTGTTAACCGAGCTGTTAAATCTTCTGTGCAATTTTGCAAATATATTGTTTATATTGTCATTAGTCAATCATTGTATTATGAATATGAAATTAATGAAAGAAAAATAAATTTCAAGCATACCACGTAATATTGCTGAAAAACTTGCTTCCTCTTTTTTTTTATTCACATTTTTAACTACTTGCGGCACTTCTGTAAAGCAGTATGAACGATATAAAGTTATTTATGGACATTCTCATTCATTATTAAATTTATAACGTAATAACATATTAAAACATACCTTTTGAAGTTTCTTTTTTTTGCTTATGATTATCGTGTGTCATTGTATTTTGCATTTCTGAAAGATATGAAAAAAATATGTAAGGTCTTTATATTTAACATTAATTTTTATATGCAACTTCTCTGATTAATATAAAATAGCAATTAGTATAATACCTGTATTGCAATATTGCTCTTTATGATAAGAATCTTTATCATAGAAATCCGATGAATCCGATAGTTTTTCTTGTATTGATACATCTAAACAACTGTCGAAGATTTGGTCGAAAGTATTTGAAGGCTTATTATTTAATGTAGTGGACTCGCATGCTACACAAACACATAAATACATATACAGGGTGCACGATTTATCTGAAGACATTGAAATATCTCGAGAATTATGCATTGGATAAAAAAAAGTGGTTAATGAAAGTTGTTAGTCTCGAAGGGAAACATCCAATGATACCAAACTCGACCTCCCATCCCACCCCCTGGGGGTGGGGGTTGGGGGCAACTTTGAAATCTTAAATGGAAACCCCCATTTTTTATTGCAGATACGGATTCTGCGCCACAAAATACGTAAATTTTGTCTGAAACTTTTTTTTTGATTCGTGATAGATGGCGCTGTAATCGCAAAAAATTATATTTTCCGCAATTCTCCAGAAATGATAATTGGATTGAGAAATAAAAAATACCTGTTCAATATTTTTAAAGAACATAATAAAAGTTATTCCCCCCCCATCCTCTCGGAGTAGGGTGGGTGGTAACGTTCAAATCTCAAATGGGAATCCGAATCGAAGAGGGAACTGCTCGACGCGCCACTGTGGGTGTATGGCGAACTACGGCTTATTATAAGCCGTAGTTCGCCATACACCCACAGCCATTACCACCCTACCCCGAGGGGATGGGGGGGAATAACTGTTATTATGTTTTTTAAAAATATTTTTAAAAATATTGAACAGGTATTTTTTTATTTCTCAATCTAATGATCATTTCTGGAGAATTGCGGAAAATATAATTTTTTGCGATTACAGCGCCATCTATCACGAATCAAAAAAAAAGTTTCGAACAAAATTTACGTATTTTGTGGCGTAGAATCCGCATCTGCAATAAAAAATGGGGGTTTCCATTTAAGATTTCAAAGTTGCCCCCAACCCCCACCCCCAGGGGGTGGGGTGGGAGGTCGAGTTTGGTATCATTGGATGTCCCCCTTTGAGACTAACAACTTTCATTAATCACTTTTTTTATCCAATGCATAGTTCTCGAGATATTTCAATATCTTCAGATAAATCGTGCACCCTGTATAACAGCAATGTTTTCCATTCAGTTGCTTTTCACCTTTGAAACTCTGACAGTGACCTAAGTTTTCTGTTAATTTCTTGAGGAATGCAATGTTTCAATGATATTAATTGCTCTGATATTTTATTTGTAGATCTACTACCAAGTTTTGTTTGTAATGGTCGTCCATCAACCCAAGACTATACAAGTTTTCGCACAACAACTAAACATACACAATGCATGTAATCGATTGGAAAAGATGTGACTAAACCTATTCCAAGTTTTAATAAAGATGATATACCAACATGATGGTTTTCATCTAACTATAATTTAAAAGATTTATCAGTTCGTTTCGGGGCTAAAATATTTCTCAAAATAACTTTTCGTTGTACATAATTGCCTGATTCAGTATATTTATCACAGGAAGAATAACCACCATGTGACTTAATTATCTTCAAATATGCTTTCGCTGGAGCATCGCATACAAAGCTATGAACTTCCTCGCGATATGTTTTATTATTGAATTCAATACCTTCTTCCAATAAATTATGTAGTTCATTTATAAAATTATCTAAAAATTTTTCTAAAGACATTGGTTTTGACGTGCCGCAGAAAATTCCAATAGTAAATGGTATATTTTGTGTGAAACTTTTTATCAAACCTAAAATCGGCCAAAACTGAATATTTGAACTACGAAATAGGGGCAAGCCATCTATTATATATAATTAAACCCATATATTAAACCCAATTTTAAATATCTCATCTGAAAAACTAGTATTTCGTACTAAAAATGTTCTTAATTCATTAGCTAATCCAATGTAATAATATTCTCCATTTTTCAGTTGTTTACTTTGCATTGTAGTAGGTGTTTACAGTAATGTTCTCGAATGAAAAGGCAATTCTGGGTGATAAGGTGAGAGAATATGTAACAAACTAATAAGGGCGGAATGAGAAATTTTATAACTTGTTGCCCAGTCTTGTAGCTTTGTAGAGAAATCAGTTTCCAAAGGTAAAAGTACAGAATTATCTTGTATTACTGAAAGTAAATTAGTTACTGTACTACTGTTAGAATCATATAAATCTACATCAGAAACAGTATTTTCAGTAATAGTAGATCTACAAATGTCCATACTAAATGAAGTAAAATTTTCTGTACATGTAGAGTTTGTTTCATAAGGTAGAAACCGGTTAATATTATTGGAACATTCGTTATGACTATCATTTGAAGTAGTAACATTACTAGAATTACAATTTTTTTCTTTTATCTCTACGTCATCTAAAATAGCAGTAACAGCATTTGAAATTCTCCTATATAACTATCGAACACCAACACATTGTTTTAACTTGTGTTTTTTATGAGTTATCGTTTTACTTGCCAACGTCTTGTAAAAAAAAGAGTTATTTTCTGTATCTATTTAATATATGTAGAAAAACAAACCGTTATATACTAAATAACTAAAAAATAGTAATAAATGTGACACAAATACAAAATTTCGACCTAAATGTTCGAACTATTTGCATTAACAGAAACTGAAAATATATCTTTTTCTTTTAATTGAAATATAAATAAAGTTATGAAACATAAATTATAACTAATATTGAAAGACAATTCTTATATGTAACGTATCACAGAACAAAGAATAAATAAATCTTTGTCTAAACTACAGCTTACTTAATCGTGTTCAGGTACCCTATTCTTCATATTGCGGAGATTAATACGCTGAGGTGCGTGTTTAAGCCATACCTTAATTACATCTTCAATTTCTTTTTCTATCTGACATGAAGTAGATTTTACCGCTTCTATCAAACCAAAACTTTGCATTAGAAATATGTAAGCAGCATACAATGTTCTCTTCCAGATTTTATGAATCAGGGTTCATAGAAATTTTACATTGTATTTATAATATTAGCTAAAACAATTATTCAGATTGTATTAATATTATTTACAGTTATTAGTGTCATTAATATGCACAAAGGTGATTTATTTAATTCTTATATGTATTTTACACCTTACAATTGTAAATAATTAATAATCAAATAAATTGCATATGTACGGGTTTTGCTTTTAATATTAAGCAGCATATAATTATATAATAAATGTTTTAGTTAATAATTACTTGGTATAAAATTTTATTTATTTTTTTTTGATAAAATTATTTTGAATAAATTTCTATGGACAATGATCTAAGGACATACTATATAATAAAGTTTTTTAAAATATATACAAAAATAAGATACTTACGAAGTATAATAGTGCAGCATTTTAAGGAAGAAAAAGGATGTTTATTCATTCGTTTGCCATAAAAACTATACATGGAAACAACGTCATCTGTTAAAAGATATCTGCAAATTTTATTAGTTTTTGATATAAGATCTTTTCCACCCAATGTGGCCAAATATGAACACTACAAAATGAAATTAAAACCTGTACTAATGAAAAATAACAATTTCTTGGTTTAATAACAATTGCTTACCATAATTGATAAATTATGATTATTTTTTAAGTATGTTTCCAAAATATTTAAATCTGCTTGGGTTGATATAGACAAATTTATTGGCAAGTCTCCTAATCTCAATAGAATCGAAGTAGTTGGAGTCATTTGCTTTTTATTAAGTAGTGTCAAAATCTCGTTATTTTGTTCTTTAATATGAATAACGATGGATAATAATTTCTTCATTACTGAAAAGAAAATATTTAATAATAATATAATGCAGAGCTGGAGACTAAGTGCCCTTTTCGGCCGGATTTCAAGCGGTAACACCCACCGTTCCCCTTGCACCGCTCCGCGCTTAGCGGCCGAGGCGACGATCGCGGTTCGCTCAGGCCCGTCGCTACGTAAGATGTCAGCTGGAGCGTACCCTCGTGTTTTATTATAATTATAATTTTTTCCTCCCTTAATAATCGCTTTAAAATATATATGTTTATGTATTTTATACACACATACATATATATATATATATATATATATATGGGGTATTCTTTCTCAAAATAGCCACCCCTCTGCACATTTTACTTTTGAAGATAAAATGCTTTGCGAGATCTCAAAATTTCCGTCGAAAACTCAATTTTTGGATGCCGTATGGCGATTTTCATTTTCATTCAAGGGTGGGGCAGTATGATCAAAATATCTCTCAAATCCCTCCAAAAAAAAGAAAAAAATGCAGAAGTGTCCAAATAACATTGAAGAACCTCTTTTCTCATGCGACTTACATACGTTAAGAAATTCCCATGACCCAAATAGGTCTTTCAGAGGTTAATGACATCAACTAAACCAAATAGGTCTTTCAGAGTTTAATGACATCAACTAAAATCAGGACGACCCTCGGCTTCAGCTTTACCCGATGTACACCACGTGGAGGTAGCCGATTGGATTTTATACATCATGTGGCCCTCAAAAGGGCCGTTCGCATTTGGCTATGTGTGTGTGTGTGTGTGTGTGTGTGTGTGTGTGTGTGTGTGTATGTGTGTGTGCGTGTGTGTGCACATGTTCGCAAGTTTCAGTGTTGTATATCTTCTTTAACTTTTTCCATGTGGCCACCATTCGACTCCATGTTCAGCATTAGAATATCTCTTGATGATGACTTGTTTATTTGGTTTGTCTGAAAGAACGACAACCCCATGGTTCTTATTTATTTCTGGAACAGCTGGAGCATTTTCAAACCTTTTATTAATTTTCCTCCTTATTTTCTCATGATCATTCTTGCTAAAATAAAAAATGTTTATTAAGAAGGTAGTGAAGGATGTAAATAAAATTATTTACATAACAGACGGTGCCAAACAACATTTTAAAAATAGGTACCAGGTTGCTAATCTAATTCATCATAAAGAAGACTTTGGCATAGAAGCAGAATGGAACAGTACAACTGCTCCTGGAAAAAGTGCTTATGATGGCATTGGTGCAACTTTCAAAAGGGAATCTTATAGAACAAGTCTCCTTGCAAAACCCGGAAGTGAAATGTTAACATCAGAATCTTTTTTCGCTTGGGCGAAAGATCATTTTCAAACAATAAACATTTTTTACTTTAGCAAGAATGATCATGAGAAAATAAGGAAGAAAATTAATAAGAGGTTTGAAAATGCTCCAGCTGTTTCAGCAATAAATAAGAACCATGGGGTTGTCGTTCTTTCAGACAAACCAAATAAACAAGTCATCATCAAGAGATATTCTAATGCTGAACATGGAGTCGAATGGTGGCCACATGGAAAAAGTTAAAGAAGATATACAACACTGAAACTTGCGAACATGTGCACACACACGCACACACACATACACACACACACACACACACACAGCCAAATGCAAACGGCCCTTTTGAGGGCCACATGATGTATAAAATCCAATCGGCTACCTCCACGTGGTGTACATCGGGTAAAGCTGAAGCCGAGGGTCGTTCTGATTTTAGTTGATGTCATTAAACTCTGAAAGACCTATTTGGTTTAGTTGATGTCATTAACCTCTAAAAGACCTATTTGGGTCATGGGAATTTCTTAACGTATGTAAGTCACATGAGAAAAGAGGTTCTTCAATGTTATTTGGACACTTCTGCATTTTTTTCTTTTTTTTGGAGGGATTTGAGAGATATTTTGATCATACTGCCCCTTGAATGAAAATGAAAATCGCCATACGGCATCCAAAAATTGAGTTTTCGACGGAAATTTTGAGATCTCGCAAAGCATTTTATCTTCAAAAGTAAAATGTGCAGAGGGGTGGCTATTTTGAGAAAGAATGCCCCATATATATATTAGGAGCGCAAAAAAGTTCTGAGCCCTTTTTTGCAAAATTCAAAATTTATTTAAAAACAAACAAAACTATATTAATCAACGAAATATTCCCCGTTTGCATCGATGACCTTTTGCCATCTTTCGGGCAGCTTGCGAATTCCCTGATGGTAGAAGCTCACCGGCTTCGAAGCGATAAAGTCATCAATGCATTTTCGTATCTCTTCAAGTGTCACAAAATGTGTATCAGCCAAGAAATGCTGCAGAAACCGGAATAGATAGTAATCGGAAGGCGCCATGTCTGGGCTATACGCCGCGTGCGAGAGAAGTTCCCAGCCTAACGCAAAGATATGGTCCTGAGTCACTTTCGCAACATGTGGTCGGGCATTGTCATGAAGCAGTATCACTTTACGACGTCCTTTGCCAGTAAATGGCCTCTTTTCTTCAAACGCATCGCTCAAATTGCTCAATTGTTGCTGATAGCGATCTGCCGTTACTGTTTCACCCGGCTGTAACAACTCGTAATACAATACATCTTTCCATTCCCACCATATGCAAAGCAAAACCTTCTTGGCGTGGATATTGGTCTTTGGCGTCGATGTCGAAGGTTGACCAGGGTCAACCCATGATTTTTTACGCTTCGGATTATCATAAAGTATCCACTTTTCATCACCATGTAATGATTTGGTGCAGAAAATCCTTTTTCCGGAACCTTGAAAGCAAAGTGAGTGCCGTGTCACGCCGTCGATTTTTGTTGTCTTCGGACAGTGCATGCGGAACCCATGCCTTTCTTTTGAACTTTTCCCATTGCACGTGTAAACGTGTGGAAATGGCTTGTCGCGTAATGCCAAGTTGCTCTGCAAGCTCCTTTTCAGTTTGTGCAGAGTTTATATCCAACAATGCTTGCAGTTCGTCCGTTTCAATCTTTTGAGGGCGTCCAGCACGCGGTTCATCTTCAAGACTGAAATCTCCTTGGCGAAATTTTTGATACCACCTTTTACACGTAGCATAACTTACAGCGTTCTCTCCATATGCAACACAGATCATTTCAGTGGCTTCAGCAGCATTTTTCTTCAGATGAAACGCGAAGTGGATGGAAAATCGAATATGCTCTTTTGTTATTGTCATCGTGAACACTGCTGATTTTAAGATTATGTGCATCAAACGACAAATCGCACGATGTTTCGAAAGACCAAATGTCACTGCTTTAAAACCGCAAGAGGGCGGGAAAATTAATGCAATTTAAATTGTGGTTTCAGTAGTATGAAATCTAAGGCTCAGAACTTTTTTGTGCTCCTAATATATATAATTACAACATAATGAAAAGAATGGCATAAAAAAAGTATAATTAAAGGATTATTGTAATAGATTTCCATATCACCTGTGAGGTACTATTGCTGATGCGTTTTTTTAAAGTGCTTTCCTCAGTAGGCCTACTCCACTAAATAATAAAGAACAAATACGATAAAATATATGGCTCGGTAGGGAAACAAAATTGTAGAGTAGAGAGTACGCCGGAGAGGCAAAATTTTCATGCGCATATTTACGTCATTCACAGTCAAGGGATTAAGCTTATAAGACAACGCTTCCTGATGAATGATGCAATGAGTAACAGAGATTTTAAAACCTTGCTGTCTTATTTGTTCAAAGAAGGCGTTTTTTCAAACCTATCATTGCTTTTGCGCTATCAGTGACTACAGCCGAACATTTGTAGAAATCAATGTCAAACTTTTGCAGAGTTTGGCTAACAGCCTTAAAGATTTCAACACCTGTTGTTCTCCCTTGCAACGTCTGATACAAAGTCTGAGAGGTCTTTGACATGTGAAAAATCGTTTTACGTACGATTTGAGCAAAAATAGACAACTGATCCATATGCCGATTATCGGTGCTCTCATAAATACATAATGAATAATACGAATAAGACGCAAATAAACATTTTAATTTCTCTTCTAAAGATGAAGCTGTATCATTTATCCGTGATTTTATAAATTTAATGAAATGCTCGCAGCTTTTTCGAAAGTCATCGAATCTCCAAATGATTCGACCGCTGCAATAACGCATTTTTTAATAAACGTTCTTCTTTAAATGATACTTCCCTTTCTTCCTTGATGCGAGCTAGTTCTTCTAAAATGTCTTTGGATATATCATCCATAGTACAGTCTAAACGACCCAGGAAAGACCCAGTTTACTTGTTCCCAAATGATCATTTACTTCTTTTCATCTAATTTTCCTGCCGAGCCATACTTTCTATCTTAATTCTTCATTTTTTAGTGGAATAGGCCTACTGGGGAAACCACTTAAAAAAAAACGCATCAGCAATAGTACCTCACAGGTGATGTGGAAATCTATTGCAATAATCCTTTAATTATACATTTTCTATGTCATTCTCTTCATTATGTTGTAATTATATATATACAGGGTGTTTGATAGCTGATCATGCAGACGAAAATTGGAGATAGATTCGGTGTAGCCGAGAAGAAAAGTCATGTACCATAATGTCAAATTGGCAATAGTTACCGAATTATTAATTAAAACATGTGAGCCAACGAGCGCGTAGAGAGCGAAGGGCGGCCGCAGTAAGCACGTAGACATTTGATACAGGCGGAGTCAGCGAGTGAGCGATAGGTGAGCGCATGCGGCGAGGGGCAACGTAAGAGACAAGAGGCGAGCGAGCGAGCGTGAACGACGAGGAGCGAGCGAGCTATAAAGAAAAAGCTATAAAGAAAAAGCTCGCTCGCTCCTCGTCGCGCGCGATCGTTACTTGTCACTTACGTTGCCCCTCGCCGCGCGCGCTTGCCTATTGACACTCGCTGACTCCGCCTGTATCAAATGTCTACGTGCTTACTGCGGCCGCCCTCCGCTCTCTACGCGCTCGTTGGCTCACATGTTTTAATTAATAATTCGATAACTATTGCCAATTTGACATTATGGTACATGACTTTTCTTCTCGGCTACACCCAATCTATCTCCAATTTTCATCTGCATGATAAACTTTCAAACACCCTGTATATACATATTTGTTAAATATGATAATTATAAATAATAATTATGCAATTATATCACATGCAATGATAAGTATTTTTAAATACAATTACTGCGTACTTATTTATTCGTTCATTGCTTCTATATGGTCTGTTTCGTCGTTCCAAAAATTCCGGCAGTTCCTTCTATCCTCTGCCGCTTGCGTTCGCGGACTTCGGGATCTGCTTCGAAATCTCTCCTCCGCTGCCCGGAGAGCTTCTCATATATATGCTTGGAATTCGGAGCGAGTTGGTCTCTGAAAATTGCGATTTTTGCATACAGCATCTGGAATAGAAACGCAAGATACATTATAATTATTAATGATGTAATAATGAACTACGTAGCATAATAAATAAAATATATCGTACCATAAATAGCTAAAACGATCCGAGCTTTATAAAAAGATCGTTGTTCCTTATTTCGGCCCCACTAGGTGAAAGATGGCGCTAAAAAGTCTGCCAAGCCTTCTTTCAGGCACAAATTTACGGCTTCTTTCAAATTGAATCCGCCGATATTGCAGAAATAGTTCACCTAAAAATATGAGAATTACAGAAATGAATATATAAACTTATATAAATAACAATATGACAATAAAAGGAACTTCCTAAACAAGAGAAATGACTGTGTGCCTGTTATAGCCGACTTTTAGTCAATAAGTTCACTGGAACTTAAATTACCGGCCTAAGGTATTCATAATCAAGTCTTAAATTTAAGATCATCTTAAGTTCATCTTCAGATACCCTGTAGCCAATGAAATAATTTGTACAACATCTGAAAATGAACCTAAGACGGTCTTAAATATAAGATTTGACTATAAATACCGGCTTTAAAATTGGTTTTTTAAAGTCGACGTTTAGCTGACTGCCTTAAATAATTTTTTGTCGACTAATTGTAGACTGTAGGCTCTCAGAGACCAGGGCCCGTATTCTTGAAAAATGATGCATACGATATTACATGAATATCACTAGATATCACGATTTTCAACCAATTATTGGGTGAGTGCAAAAGTTCGTGCGGAGTTTCAATAGATGGAGTTATAAGCGTAGTAAAGTGTTGTCATTAATACTTCCATCTACATATTATATAACGTTGGAAAGGTGACGTCTTCAGCTGTTATTAAAAAAAAATCATCTGTTTTCATACAAACTGCTTCGAGAAATATCACTTTAAAAATGAGTATCGATAAGGTGCATTTGCGGCATGTTATGCTTTACGAGTTTCGGAAGGGAATAAACGTTGCCGCAGCCGTAAAAAACATTCAGGATGTTTATCAGGATGAAGCACCAGCTAAACGAACTGTGGAAAAATTTGCTAAATTTTGGCGCGGAGAATTTAACCTTGAAGACGAGCCATGCTCTGGTCGACCTTCTGACATTGATGACGATGTTTTGCGTACTTTAGTGCTTAATAATCCGCGAATTTCAACAGAAGAAGTTGCTACAGCACTAAACGTTGACCGATCAACCGCTTTTCGGCGTTTAAAAAAGATGGGATTCGATTTGAAGCTCGATATATGGGTGCCCCATTTGCTGACCGAGAAGAACAAAATCAAGCGAATTTCTGCAGCCGTTTCTTTACTCGGGCGGCTCAATAACGAGTCGTTTTTGGATCGATTAGTGACGGGCGATGAGAAATGGGTCCTCTACAACAATGTTCAGCGCAAACGGACATGGAAACAATCAGGTGAGCATGGTGACGCAATGCCAAAGGCCAGTTTGCACCCGATGAAGGTGATGCTCTCTGTTTGGTGGGATTGCAAGGGCATAATCTATTTCGAGCTTCTCCCCGCTGGCGAAACGATTGATTCGGACAAGTACTGTCGCTAATTAACCAATCTGAATCGAGAAATAAAAGAGAAACGTCCGATTTTGTCAAATCGCAAGGGAGTCGTCTTTCATCACGACAACGCCAGACCACACGTTTCGAAAAAGACGCTGCGCAAACTGAAGAGCCTGAAATGGGATGTCTTAACGCATCCACCGTATTCTCCTGATATCGCACCATCTGACTATCACTTGTTCCGGTCATTGCAAAATTATTTAAATGGAAAAAACTTTGACTCTTTGGAGGCCTTAAAAACGGCGTCTCTTCGTTCTTTGAATCTAAACCGTGCAGTTTTTATGATCGAGGCATCCGTATGCTGCCAGAACGTTGGGAAAAGATTATAGAAAACGATGGAGAATATATCATTGATTGAATAAAGATTTTTGTTTGCCTAATCACTGTGACTTTTACTCACAAACTCCGCACGAACTTTTGCACTCACCCAATAAATTGCCCCATTGATGAAATATCGTATACAATATTTTTAACAAATTTTTGAAAATAAAGGCCTAACGGTTCACTGAGCGTTCAGTGAGTTCTTGCAATTGATGGGCGCAAATTTATACATCTAAAAGAATACTCCAATCAGATGCGAAAATTTACTCAGTAATATTACTATAGTACTAAATGCAGTTATTTTCGCTTGAATGCCAAACTCTTCACTGATCTCCGCCTTATTACATATTTTAATGCAAGGTAATTCTTTTTTACCCTAAATATTGTATAAAATATATTATATAAAATTCATGAATGATGCTTCTTATATTATATAAAATAAGGATTAGAAAGATTTCTCTATATATTTTTAATAACATGTTTTACATATCTTTAATATTCATCATAATGAAACATTTCACAAAATTTAAGATTATGCTTGTAGAAATTTGAATCAGACATAAAAAAATTATTATTCTTTAATTCTAACATTTTAAAACTTTTTTTTTATCACCCTGGTGAAATCCCTTATGGGTACCCATAAGCCCTGGGGGTGACTCGTGGGTTATGTCAGACTCGCACCGACTAAAACACCAGGGGAGTGCCTGCCTTCGGGGGTAGCGATTGGCGACCGCAGGAACGAGTCTCCTATTCCTTCTACTGCACCGTCACCCCCGTTGGCTCCGCACGCGCAGCCCCAGACCTTCTTGGGCCCCCCGCGCACCGCTGGATTTATGGGGGGAGTGGGAGGGGGGAGCTACGCAGCTAGACACGAGGATAATCCTCGTGTCGCCTATATGTGGCTTCCTTTTTTTTTTTGTTCACGCAGGGAAAATCCATCATGGATACCCCCGCCCCCTTGGGGGGGGGGCGAGGGTTATGTCGGACTCTTACCGACTAAAACCCCTGCGGGATGTCTACCTGTCGGACCGTGAAGAGGGGAGTTAGGGGAACTGCTCCCGCATTCCCTCCCCAACCCCCCCGCCCCAGGGCTCTTCAAGAGCCCCTCGCCTTCTTGTACCGCATCCCTCTCTTCCCCTCTCAGAGAATTAGTGGAAGAGGTGCGGTCCCCGGCGGGTACCCCCGCCGGTTGGCCTTCTGGTGTCACCTTGGAGAAAGGGGACATCCACCCGTTCTCCTTATCCACCCCTCTTCCTTAAGAGAAGAGGGGGGGGATTTTTGGGGAGGTAGGCCCGACCTCAATCGGGTTCCCCAACTCCCCTTTTCCCCCCTATCCGTTCACTCAGAGGAGAAGCGGGAGGAGTCCTCCCCGCTCCCCCCCGAGCGACGGAGCCTAGTCTGAGGTGGCCGAGGAAGACGGCGGCCCGTGTGGGCCTCCGCCCTCTCTTCTTCCGACTCCACCTCGGGCCCGCTTCCGACTCCCCCTCCCACGGGGCAGCGTCGGCCCCGCCGTCCTCTCTGACGGCGTTTGCCGAGCCGGCGCCTCTACTCGGCGGCCTCCTTCCGAGAGATCAACTCCCCGCAGAAGGAGGCCGCCGCGTTCCACGCTCTCTCGCTCCCGCAGGGAGCCCCCTGGCCGTCAGCTTTCCCCCCTCGCGGAGCTCATTCACTCGCCAGTAGAGAATCCTCCTCTCCTCGGCGAGGAGCTCCCCAGGGGGGGAGCCGGCCAGGGTGGTCGCCGCCATGTATGACACAGTACGGAACCCCCGAATCGCCCTGATCATTAGGGGCCTAAGGGCCTGCCTCAGCTGCCTCTTGGCCACCGCGGAGGCCAGCAGCTGAGGGGCCCATATAGGCGCCCCGTACAGAGCGATCGAGTGAACCGCACCGACATACAGGCGGCGAGCCTGCCATCCTGGGCCCCCCTGGGCGCGCATCAGTCTAGACATGGCCATGCGGTTTTGCGCACCTTGGGGGCCAGCAGCTTGAAATGTGGGCCGAATGACCACCGGCTGTCCAACGTCAGGCCGAGATATTTCATCGTCAGCCCGACGCGGACGTGGACGCCATCAACTAGGTCCCGGGTCTCCGGCGGCGCCCGACGCCGGTCATGAAAAAACACAACCTGAGTCTTCTGGGGCGCCACCTTGAGACCCAGGTCTCCGATGGTTCCCACCACCGATGCCACTGCCACCCCCGCGCGGAAGCGGGCCTCCTCCCAGTTCCCCCCTTCGGCCACCACTAACGTGTCGTCTGCGTAGCAGACGATGTGGCAGCCGTCGGGGAGCGGAGTGCGAAGGACCCGGTCGAAGCCGATGTTCCATAGCAGGGGGCCGAACACCGACCCCTGCGGGACACCACGTTCCATAGTGCGCCAGCCTTGAATCCCGCCTTCTTTGGTGAAGGCGAGGTCTCTGTCCCGGAAATAGGCGGACATTATCCGCCGGAGATAGGCGGGCACCTCGAAGTGCTCGAGGGCCCGTCCTATCTCCGGCCAGGGCAGGATGTTGAAGGCATTTGATATGTCGAGCGACACAGCCAGCAACACCCCGCCTCTTATCTCCACGACCGCCCGGGTCACGTCCCGGACCCACTGGATCGCATCCAGTATGGACTGTCCGGGCCTGAACCCGTATTGGCGGTCGTGGAGGTCCAGCCCACTCGAGGACATGTGCTGGACGAGGCGGTCGGCAATGATGCGCTCCATCATCTTGCCCGCCTCGTCCAGCAGGCAAATCGGCCTGTAGGCTGACGCACTACCGGGCTTCTTGCCCTCCTTCGGGAGGAGAACCAAGTTGGCCCTCCGCCACTCTGGGGGGAAGACCCCCTCCCTTAGGCATCCGGTCATGACTCTGCACATGGCCGTGGACAGGTCCCCCTCGGCCAGCGCGAGAGCCCAGGCGCGGCCCGGAATCGCGTCGGGGCCAGGGGCTTTGCCTCTGCCCCCGAGCTTTCTCCGGGCCTTGGCAAGCTCCTCTGGACTGACCTCCAGGCCCTCGTCCCAGTCTCCCTCCCCCATCTCTGGGGGAGGGATCACCGGGGGGCCCCCTTCCGCCCTTGGAAGAAGGGCGTCTAAGAGCCTATCGAGGACCTGGGGGTCTAATGTTTCCGTTTGCGGGGTCGCCCAAAGACGGATCTTTCCCATCGTCCTCTTGTATGGGCGCCCCCACGGATCGTCGTCCAGGGAGCCTACCAATTGCTCCCAAGCTTCGCGCTTGGCCTTCTTGATGGCCGCTTTGAGGACTACCTTGGCTGCAAGGTAGTCCTCTTTTGCCCTTGCGGCATTCCCGTCTCGTCGCCGGGCACGCGTACACGCCCTTCTGGCGCGGTCGGAGGCACCGCGGAGTGCCGCGATGTCCTCCGACCACCAATACGCTGCCCGGCGCCGACGGGAGTGGGAACGGGGCATCGCGGCGTCGCATGCCGACGCCACTATCCCCGTTATCTCCCCGGCCCCTTCCTGGGGGCCGGGGTCCCACTCACCTGGCTCTATATGCCAGGTGGCCACAAGGACAGCGGCCTGTAACATGTCCATATCGAGTCGACTGAGGGCCCATCTTTTGGGGAGAGGAAAGTTCCTCTCCCCTGGGCGGCGAGCCGACACCTGTCTCGGTTTGGGGAGGCGGAGGGTCCAGACTATGTATCTATGGTCAGATAGCGTCTCGCCCTTCGCCTCCACCTTCCATTCCGAGATCCTTCTTGCAGCCGAGAGGGAGGCCCAGGTCAAGTCAATGACCGATGATTCCCCTCCCGGCCTTACGCAGGTGCCGGTGGATCCTCTGTTTACCAACAGAAGGCCCAATCCCGCCGCCCAGCCGATGACCGCCTCGCCCTGGGATCCCGCCGCCGCGGACTGTAACCCCACTCCTCGGAGTGGGCGTTGAAATCCCCGGCAATCACGACAGGTCGGGGATGGCACTTGCGTACCAAATCCCCGACCCTGTCTAGGATCCCTTTTATGCGGGCGGGGCGGCCAAGTCCGTCTCTGTTTCTGTGGTGGGGGAGATACACCCCCAACACAGTCACGGGCCCCCAGTCGACGCCACGTACGAGGACCCCTTTTCCCTTAAAACACAGGGAGGGGTCCCCGCTGCAGGGTCAACCACCATGGCCACCGAGCCGTACGGGTTGCCGAACCAGCATTCGCTGCTGATCGGCACCCAGTTCGGCTCGGTGGCCAACCGTAACCCTAGCAAACCCTAGCCCGGCGCCCAGTTCCCGGATCCTATGTACCCACAGGTCCTGGGCCCGGGCGCCGCGGCCGAGGTTTGCCTGTAGCACCCGAAGTGGCGTGAAGGCTAAGCCTTACACACCTCCTCCGGGCTGTCTACTTTCACCCCCTCTTGGGAGACCTCCAGCGGCTGGACCGCCTCGGTCTCCCCAGAGGGGGTTTCGGCATTGGTGGTTACGACCTGCGCCTCTTCGTGCACGGAAGGCGACTGCCTCACGGGTGTCCCTGCCTGTTCGTCTCCCTCCTCTGGGGGGTATGAGGGGGAGTCGTCCACACTCAGAAGGGGAGACAGTGGTGAATCACCCTCTGTCTCCCCTCCACCTAGGGTGGTTGGGGAAGAGTCTTCCGACTGCACCCGCCTTACCTTTTTATTATTCCCCGATGATCCGCTGGTCCCCTTCTTCCTTCGCTCGTCCCCCCTCCTCTTCCTCTGGGGCAGCGTCTCGACCTCCATTAGGACCGGCGTCGACGCTCGGTCGGGAATCCCCCAGGACGCCAAGGAGTCCTTCTCCTCCTGGTCTCCCGGAGAGTTTCTCTCTTCCCTCGTTGTGGAGAAGGCCTGACTGGCCTTCTCCGGCTGCTTGGGTTCCTCCTGGGGGGGGGTCAGGCATCCCCCTCTTCCTTTCCCTCAACCACGATTGGCAGCTTCCTTTTCCCCTGCGTCTTCGCCCCCCTCCCCCTCCTGTTGGAGGGCTTGCAGGCAGGCCCTCCGATCTTATGATCGGAAGGCCTGCCCGCCTCGGCGCAGACCGGGCAGCGAGCCGCCTCCTGGCACCCTTTGGCGCGGTGGCCGGGGTAACCGCAGCGGTAGCAGAGCTCGTTGCGGTCGATGGCGCTATCGCACCGCTCGCACACATGCCCCGGTTCCAGGCACCGGTAGCATAACTTGGCGCGAGCGGGCAGCGCCATCACCCCAGCGCGAGTCCACCCAACTTGGACTCGCTCCGCGGCGACTGCCTTCGCGGCTCCCGCCAGCGGACACCGCACCACCACTGTGCCGGTCCCCCACCGGGAGACACTTACCTCGCCGGAGGAAACCTCCTCCGGCGTGCATCTCCCGACGAGGGCTACCGCAGCCGCCACCTCATCGGCCCCGGTTATCGCATCCAGGCCGGTCAATCGCAACGCTGCGATCTCGACCGGCCTTCGGATGCGAAAACCAGGGCCTTTCTCCGCCGCCAGCTTGCGGAGCTCCTCCGCGGCTGCCCCCGCGGTGAGGCCAGGCACCTCCACCAGCATATCCCTGTTAAGGGCCTGAGTCACTTTCAGTTTAGCAGGGGGAAGGAGGGGGGTGGGGGTCTTACTCGCCCCCTCCCTCCTCCTCTCCCTCCTCCCCAAGACCTGGGACCAAGTCTCCTCCTTACCCTTTCCTGCCTGAAGTGCGAATCTTAATCCCTCCTCTATCCCTAGTCCCTCCAGTTTTTTGCTGGAATTCCTGGGGTCTGCGTTCCTTTCTTTTGGGCTATCTCCCTCTCCCTCTCCTTCAGGAATCTAGCCCTCGCCTTTTTCCTTTTCTTCTTCTCCCTGGCTTTCTCCCTCTTCCTTGCTCCTTGCTCCGCTGTAGCTCGGTGCACCTGGGCCTGGCTCCCTTTTCTACTGCAGCTCTCCTCCTTTTCCTCTTCCCTCCCTTTGTGGACCTGGGCAGTTGCTGCTGCAGGGGTCCCCGTCCCCCCTGCTACCCGGCTCCCATCCCATCCCCAAACGAGGTGAGGTTTCTGATCTGTCAGCCTCCTCACCCCGCCCGGGGATGCCCGGGCCGCGTCATTGGCCTAACCATTGAAGCGTCCAGCTCCCCCCGCACCTTGCCCTGCTCTGGTCTCCACGCCGGAGAGGGAGTCTCCTCCGAGTGTCATCGTAGACAGGACACTTCCCCGGATGAGCCTCCCTCTCTCTTACCTCTCCCCTGAAGGAAGAAGAGGGGGAAGAGGCAATTCTCGCCACCCTCCTCCTCTTCCTCTTTTTCTTCCTTCTTTTCTCCTCCTTCCCCTCCTCCTCCGCCGATGTGGAAGTTCCCCCGCTCACCACTTCAGCGTAGCTCCTCCTTGCTGACTCCGGTTGGGGGGGGCTGAGTATGGGCTTCCCGGGCCCTGCTCTCCTGAAGCTCCTGTTGGAGCTTCATGTTTTCCGCTCTTAGTGCCCTAATACTTCCCATCAAGTCCTCCAATTCCTTGGTCACTTCCGGTCTCGCTGCTCCTTCGCCTTCCTGCGCCGCTACCCTGGCAATCAAGGTCGACATAGCCGCATCCGTGTTGACCGTGGCCCTGTTCAACAGGCTGGTGAACGTGCCCTTGAATATATTCGAGCGCTTTGCCACCAACCCGACCGCACCCAGGGCACGTCCCACCTCGTCCGCAAGCTCTGCCGACCCCGCCCCTCTGAGGAGCCCCACTGAGGATCTGTCTTTAAACACTTCCTCAGCGGGGCGTTTATCCGCCAGGGTGTGGCAAATTCCCCTTTCAAGGAAGTTCCATCTCCGCCTCCCTCTCCAGTTTCTTGAGGCGCTCCTCCTTCCTCTCCTTTACCTCCCTTTCCTTTCTCTTCTTCATGCCAACCCCTAGGCCCGTAGTGGCTGGTCTTCCTCTTCTTATTCTCGGGTACCAGAGCTGGGACCGGTCCCTCCACCATCTCCACCTCCGTAGAGGACCCCCCACTAGTAGACGACCTCCCCCTCTTTTTCCCCGTGGCCGCTGGTGGTTGCAGCAGGGTCCTCTCCTCCGTTTTGCGGATCCGGTACCTAGACCCTTGGGAGAGGAGCATGTCAGTGACGACTACCGGGCCAGCGACCCTTGTCCCCGACACCTCCTCTCCTTTCCCGATCCCCCCATCGTTGGCCCCTAGTGCCTCCTTGATTTTTTTAGGGACAGACTCTCTCTGCCTCTTCTTTTCGCAGAGGGGGCCGGGCTTGGTGGCCCCTGGTGGTATTGGAGTCCCCTGACTCACGGGGACACCAGACCCCAGGGGCATGTCTGTCCCTCGTAGGGTGGCCGCTCTCGTCATCCTACGCGGAGAGCTCACCTTACCAACCCTCCGGTGAGGGCGGTAATCCCGGCTGCTGTCTTCCGCCACCGTTGAGGGAGATGGGCTTCCCTCCTTAGATGGCCCCTCGGAGGCTACTCCTCCGAGGTCCATCAGCTCTCTCTCCCCGGGGAGAGGGGAGATGGCGCCCGCCGACAGATCTCTGCCCATCCTTACTCCTTCTACTTCTTCAATCAAAAAATCACCTGCCGGAGCAGGTGGTGAGCCCTTAGGCGGGTTGCTACACCCGCCATTTTGGGTCTCTGAGTCCGAAGACTCTGAGAAGAGTTTTGTTTTTATAAATTGAGATCCTTGCATTTTGGTCCCACGAGTACGGCGGGAAGTGGGCGTCGACCCCGGGTAGAGCCCCCGCATTACCCGGGGTAAGGCTAGCATGTCCCTTGGGTTCGCCAGGTGCCCAAGGTGAGGAACCACTAACGACAGGTCACGCACCTGCCATTCATCCCCTAAGCGTGGCATGCTTCAACCGTAGGATTACATGGTGTTTTATAGAGGACCCGCCTCGTGGTCCGGCCAATTAAGGCAAGACCACCGGCCCCAGAGACATGACCTAGGGATACGGTGTGATAGGCTAGGGTCTGTCGGAGATGCCTGAGCCCCCTGTACTAGAGTGCCGAAGCACCATGGCCCCTCGCAATTGTGTCAGGTTATACGTCCTGACAAGTACGGGTTTGCAATCAGGGTTTTCCTTCCCCTAGAACGGTTGCCTTCATCCGGCTCACGAGCCCGTTCTGCCCGCGCTATAGGGTCCTTCGGATCGTACAAGTACGGTCCTCCGGTCCCTATATGAAACTCGGAGGCAGCTGCCCCTCCGAGAGTGAATAAGGACGCTCTTAGTCAGGCCTCTCAGTACAGATCTCTCCGGCATGGTAGAACCTGCCAGGGATCGAAACCCCCGCCGGCACAGCTCTGTACATCATCAAGGCACGCAAGCCTCCCCACCACGTTAAGGTGGCGCCCACGGGGGGGTATATGTGGCTTCCTGACCACCGCTCCCTTCTATCCCCCCCCAGCCCAGGAAGGGGGGGCAGGTAGGGACAGCCCTAAGGCCGTTTGCCCACTCACCACCGTTCCTGAGCTAGGGAGCGCCGTCCAATCAAGGGGTGTGCGGGGTAAGCCAGGGCCAGACATCGACTCTCTCCCCCCGATACATGGAGGGAGAGATGCCTAACCCCATTCGGCCGTGCTGTAGGGCCGGCGAGGGAGGAGGGGCACCTGCCCCCTCCCTCAACTTCACCTCTGGTGTTCGAGGTGGGGTTAGGAACCACGCCCGGTCCCCCACCCGAGACGCAGTTCCTCTTCTCCCCCCTCTCCCTCCGACCCACACCGATCAACAGAGAGAGAGGAGGGAGGACTCCCGAACCATATCCAAGAGATCCAGCGGGAGTAGGACCGTGCTACCGGATCGCGCAGCTATCGCCCAGGTCTCCCGCGGCAGGGGAGGCTGGCTCCCCTCTACGTGAGGAGCGCCTAATCCTCCCCCCCCCCCACGGCCTAGGACCGCCGGCGATCCTCCTGGTCCATCGACCTCGCCGTCACCACTCGGCGAGCCTCACCCTGCTGCGGACACTGCGCTATGTTAACGCGTATGTCCGCAGATACAGCCACTTTTCGCGACTCCCTCTCCCCCCAGCGATGGACGTGCCGTTGCACCCATCCTGTTAATTCCCTCGTTGGAGGGGCAATCCTCGCGTCTTCCGCGTCCACCGCCCCCCTTCAGGACCAGCCAACAGGCTGAGCCGGCCATACGATGGTTGGCCTCCTTCCCATCCTCCCGGCACACCGCGCACTCGACAGTGTTTTTGCACTCCCGCGCGGTGTGCCCACCTCGGCCACACCTGAAATATAGTTCGCTGCAGTCAACCGCAGCTGTACATTGTTCCCTCATGTGGCCGAGGCCCCAACACCTAAAGCACTGGGGCGGTCGAGCAGCCAGCTAACACCACACTGACCCTCGACCACCCCAGTGCAAAGGTCCCCTCCCGCGCCGCCTTCACCGCGGCAGCTAGCGGGAGACGGGACCACACCGTCCCACGTCCTCTCGGACCCCACTTAAGGGGTCCAAGCTGGATGTCCCTCTCCGCACAACACGCGCAGCTTGCGAGGGACTTTTTCAATTCCTCCGGGGAGGCCGCCTCATTGAAGCCTGTGAGGCGGACCCCCCTCTTTGCACCGGACGACCTATAGCCGCCTCAGGCAACACCTCTTTCAGTCGCGCAGCCAGCGCATCCGCCCTTGTTCCCTCAGGGCCCGGATCCCGGACGCGGACTATCATTGCGGCTTTGGCGCTTCGCCCCACATCCACATCCGGGATCCGCAGGTCCCCGAGGGATATCTCTTCTGTCGCCTTTTTAAGGGCCTCCGAGTAAGAGGCCCCTTGAGGCAACTTAATACTTAAGGCGGCTGTCCCCGTAAGCCGGGGCCACCTGTTCCTCTCCTCCTGAGCATTTTAAAACTTGCTTTAGTTTATCTATTTAGCAAATTATCTATTAAATAGAATATTTGTGTTTCTAATCTAATATAAATTAACCTCAAAATATTAAATTGTATATTTCTGTTCTATTTTAACATGAGCTTTATTTATTTAATTATTTATTTAATGTATACCAAAATACTGTCATACTTATTTACAATTCTTATGTTGTAGCATTGCCGCATAAGAGAACCTTAAGAAAGTCTTCAATTCTGACAGCAAATAATAGGTCTCTGTACGTATACATTTGGACATAAAACGTAGGTATAACAATTAATCAGAAATCAGATTTATATTTTTTAATGGTCTTTTATAATTTTGTGTCGTAATTCACTATTTCAATGCAATACATACAGAATATTTGATACTTATGAAATTATTCATGCTGTCTACATATATAAAATTATATTAAACATAAGTGTTCACAATCATATTTTTGTGCTTATTTAAAAAAGTGTTTGGAAATAATAATATAACACTTTTCAGTTCAGCAATATAATAGTGAACATTTAAGTATAATAATTATAAAACCCGATTAATATATTTCATAAATATATTGGGTTTTTTTCTTCTGCTTACCACGTTGGGATATTTTTCTTCATTCATTTCTTCGAATACCATCTCTTCCATGAATGTAATTGGACGGCCATCTGGTTTAAATTGCGCGGAATTGCGCACTTGCACACATTTGACGATGGTTTCCAGTAAGCTGTTCATTTTTCTGTAAAAAATTGTTGAGAATTATCCAAATTACACAAGAAAATATCACGTTTTAATAAATAAAGTTCATATACTTACTTTAGTTGTGCTTCCATGCGATCTAGGCGTTCTTCCATTCTTCTAAAAATATATATCTACATTTACTGAGTAGCTCGATAATCAATATATATTTACAAAATATTTATCTTAATACAATTTTTCAAGTAGCTTAGATAACTACGTAATATATTAATAGTTTTAACTAATGAAAATTAAAAATAATAAAAATATCTCTACATACTTGGTATATATTTTTTCCACACGTTCTTCCACTAAAGTTTCTCCAGCAGCCTGGATATGGGAATCCTGTATAGGATTTCGCTGTCCCTCATGTATGCCACTCGTAAAGGACATTCGCGTACTCTGCAATTCAGTAAAATCTGTGTCAAAATGTATATCATGTGTCGATCCTGTTGCATGATTGTGTGAGGATGTTGTTTGTATGTTATTCTCAATGTAAGTGTTAGATGGTGAGTACATGTATGATATATTGTTTGTGTGGGGTTGTATGTTTGTATATGAGTGTATGTGCTATGTGGATATATGCGGTTGTGTGGACGTGTGTAATTGTTTAAAAGTGTGGGATTGTATGGACGTGTGTGATTATATATAAGTGTGTGGTTGTGTGGACGTATGTGGTTGAGTATGCAACTGATTGTTAAAGTGTACATTTGAATGATGAATATTATTTTTGTTTATACTGTCCTTCAGAGCACTCCGTATGCCTTCAATATCATCATCAATGGTTCCTGGTGCTGTTGTAATGTCTCTTTCGTTAGGGGATTCCTCAGAGGATGTAGTTTGATAGCATGCTGGTTTAGTTACTACACGCTTTGGTCTATCCATCTTTGGCTGTAAGAATGAATAAATATAGAATATGAAACGAATATATTTCAGTAAAAAACATACATTTTATTATTTTTACATTAATATTTTATTTTATTTTACTTTATTTTTAATAGTATTTCTCTTAAAAGCATAAATGACCCAGATAGACAAATTTTGGCAGATTGTCTACATAGAGACTGAAATTCGAGAATAACAGTAGTAGCATAAGTACATAAAGATGCGATTTTATACAAAAAAACATTGTAGCAGCATATAAAAGAAGCAATCTGATGCCATGAAAATTGCAGCAGATGCCACATATTTTATCAGCAAGAAGACGCAGTTAATCAGCAATTTAAACAAATGTGATTTTTTATTATACATCAAATTTAATACGTTTCATCAACAAATAGTATAATATATATTCCAAAGAATATAAAAGTGGATAATATGTATTCCAAAGAATATAGTGGAGAATATAGATTTCTGCATAGCATATAATCCATAATACATACAAAAACAAATCAAATCTTTCATTACCTTCTTTATGACGAAAACAAGGAATCCAAATTGCTTCATTTTTATGTGTTATATACTATACAGAAGTATGTTTCCCTAGCTATATTGGTTTTATTGATATTATGAAAATAGAGAAAATGTGTCGAATAAGAAATCATATTATCTAATAGATAATCAGATATCAGATATTATCTAAATGAGTATCATATCAAAACAGTTTATCTTTGTTACACTACTATTTTGTATATAAGTTAATCAAGTTATATTAAATATTTTGAAATGGTTTTTTTTATTAAGTCACTTAATGTATATAATTGTACTATTGTGTGACTTAAGTCATTCATTTATTCAAATAGCTATGCTTTATCTTTTTACTTGTATTTCAGATATTTATATTACATGTGCCTTAAAGCTTGCTATCATACAGAACTTAGAAGAAATGAATAAAATATGTAAACTATAGAAATTGATACATTCCCAGCAAACACAATATTACATGTAACATGCATGTTAGTTGTAATTTCCTACTCAACAATATAACTGTTATATAACACATGTGTTATATAACAATTATATTGTTGAGTAGGAAATTACAACTAACATGCACATTACATGTAATATTGTGTTTGCTGGGATTGTCTTTATTACAGATATGTAACAACAGCTGCAGAATAGTAAAGAGAAATAAAGACGAAATATATATATCAACATATCTCTTGCCAACATATTTTGGAGATGAAAAAACTGTGGACAAGGCATTACAACATGTATTTTAAACATGTGAGTATAATTAGCTATCATATTATAGAAAGGATGTTAATGTTCCATTACATTATAAAGAAATAGCATTGTCGTGTTTCGAAATACACACACATATACATACACACATACACACATAATGTCACATCTTTAATTTTTTATTGAAACATGACAACGTATGCAGTCAAAATATATGACAGGATGGAAGATTAAAAATAACGGTGTGACATATAATTACATTCCCAGATAGCATAGAGCTCAAGAAGAATTCTTTCATATGTTTTTTATGAGTTTGTTCCAATTATAAGTTTATTCTCAGAAGTGAAAAGAAGAATATCTATATCTTATACAGAATTCTTTTTGTAGAAAAATAATTCTTTTTATATTTGAAAATAGGTGACATAAGTTTATAACTGACGATATATGAAGGAATTTTTTTTAACTCTCTGCGCTAGTAACATATATATTGCATGTAACATCACCACAATGTAGCTGTTATATATTTGTTATAACTGCGATTTACTGATTTACTGCGTGAAATTGATAACTAAAAATTATTCCTTTTCATACTTACATTTTGGCGAGTCCGGTGTTGCGGCTGCAAGATATGATATAATATAAGATATAACAAAGAAACTACTCAGAATCTTCAGAAAAACACAATCTTTTCACAATCAAATTCATTAACAGTTGAACTTAGAATAACGATTTCTGTACATAGACCGCAGCAATGACGATTCAATTGTCAATTGTTAAACGTATTTCTTTTCATCAATTCGCAAGTTTTGATTACGCACTATATAAGATGTCATTGGCCACGTTCAATAGAACAAAGTGATCAGAGAGCGCTTAGTGATTATTGTCTGTGATTGGAGCATTCTTTTAGATTCTTCATAGACCAAGAAGTATTTACCAATCAAGAGCGAGATTCAGTGGAAAATATAGTAATGTTGTCCAACTGTTGAGTCTGCTGAATGCAGCCATTGGATGCGTTCAGTGAACACAACGATTGAGTATTTCGTACAAATAATTGGTCCAAATTTAGGGATCTAATAGTAAGGACCAATAATCGCTGACACCAACAGCTCACTGGTCGCCTTGTTCCGCTACGCGACCATTGGTTGCGTTCAGAAAACAAAGCATTCACTGAGCAAGTGACTATTGGTCTTTATTGTTAGATTCTTCACTACTGTTAGATCATCCCGTTGTGCAACCGTTATATTTTCAGTATTTTATGCAACATATTTTACAATATTTTATTTTAGCGTCTGTATCTGATACTAGAGCCCGTATTCATAATCAGATCTTATATTTAAGATAATATTAAACTTCAGATACTATATGGATCATTTCATTGGCTGCTGAGAATATGTAAATGAATTTAAGATGATGTTAAATATAAGTGATCTATTTTTTTTAACTGCTCTGCTAAACTGGTACAATAAATTACAATGAGACCATTATATTTTTTCTCACTATAGCTTATTGCATAAGTGTGCGCTGGTTCAGGCAGTTCAGCTCAAGAGAACTAACTCTAGTCCAAAAATGCAGCAAAAACGAACAGACGTTTCGTTATTCCGAGTTCAACTGAATTCAACCACCCGAATAGTGAAGTGTACTTTAAGATTGTTCTGAGAAAGTTAAGTGATTTATTTGCTACGTCAGATCTTTTGCAGTCTTTGCAGTCACAACATCGGATTCGTCAATACGTAGCTATGGAAAAAATTAATTTTAAATTATCTGTTTCGCATAAATCGCAGCGTGAGTTATCCACGCGACAGCGTAATAGGGTTATGTTACAGATGAGAAATAATTTAAGGTCGTCTAATTCTTCCACATTTAATATTACTGATAGACAATTAAATAATAATCGTAATAATATGCATGTTACTTTTGACTCTACAACTTTGACTCCTGGATGCAGTTCTCGTAGTGATATTAATATTTCTAACAATAATTTCGACTCAGCAAATGTAGGATGCAATTCCGATAATAATATACATATTTCCAGTAACAATTGCGATTTTACATATGACCCAAATATTAATAACGATTCTTCTTCTGTGTCTTCAGATGTCTTTGAAGTCGGTGACACGTTTTCATTTTCTTTGAGCAACTCCGTTCAAGCATCCTTTCGCGAATGTTTAGCACCTTGCTTAGTTGATAATAATTTTAAGCATACACAAGGCAATAGTGTCTTAAGTCTACTTCGAACACATTATTGCTTTTTTAATTTGCCTAAAGATGTTAGAACGCTTCTGAATAAACCACGTAATAGTGTTATACTATCAAATGTAGATCCAGGTGAATATATTCATCTGGATCTGGAAGTACCCAGATAGCCAAACCAGCGCGAGCAGATTTCGAACAAAGCCTGCTATCACAGTTTGATGGCAAATAGGCAACAAATTTAACGCAGAATCTGTTATATCAAATTATGCCGCCAATCTGTGATCAAATATGCGCCAGATCCTGTTGTCAGATATTTGACAGCAGATTTGTAGCAAAAACCGCGCAAGACTTGCAGTAATTTGACGGCAGATTGGCGGCAGAAACTGAGCAAACTCTACGCGCAGACTCTACGTGCACTGTAAAAAATATATGTAAAATTATATGAATAATAAATGTAAAAATTACGCAATTAATAGTGGAAATTTGTAAAATTATGTATTTTTACAAAAAAATTATATTTTTACTTCTTATTGTGTATATGTATCTTTATATTTAATGAAAAAATTCACAAACAATTTTGTATTTCACTGATTTTAGGTAAATTTACAAATTTTTGTAATACTACATATTATAACGGTAATATATACACATCATATTGGAATTTTTACATAAAGAAGTGTAAATAAACGAAAACTAAAGTAATTTTACAAATCTAAGGATAATTTATAAATCTGTATGTAACAGATAGTAATAGAATGAGAAGATACAAGATGGCGTTGCCATGTGATGGTAATCGCACGAACAGACAGCGTTTTGTATGCCTTTGCGCGCGAGAGCCATAACGTGTATGCTACGCCGTTCAGTGCTAGTCCAAACGTGTGTAGACGTGTCCAGAGAAGCGATAGTTCTTTGTGTCGTGAATGGTAATTAATGTAATAAATATTAATAGCTACAAAGAATTACATCAACTTTCAAAGTTTTCTGAAGTGAAGTTCAAGTCGAAAATGAAGCGATCGCTTGCTGAAAGCCGGTTAGGTTCGGATATAAGTCCAAGAGGAAGTCTAAGTGTATCACAATCAGCTTCCAGTAAGTTACGTGACTTCATTTTCGAGTGAGGTGTCACTCTAAATAAGTGATGATTTCGAAATGAAAATATTACCATATGGAATTGTAAGAGTGAATGTCTCATTTAAGGTTATGTCGATTATAGAGAGTGTATTAATTATAATTAATTTATTCCTATGAGAATGATACATATTAGATTTATTCTTTAATTTTGAGTGAAAATATTCACTAGATAAATCAGAGTAAAGAATCATTCGAATTTTTGTAACTATTACTCTACTTTTCGTGTAAAATTTTACTCTAAGAAATATAAGAAAGGAATACATATCTAATCTAACATATTTTTCAGGGAAAATCATATATCAGAGATACCACAAAGAAATTTTATTCATTATTCAAATGTTATTCAAACAACAATTAATATAATCTGGAATTGATATAATCTGATTACTGATAATAGATACTTTATAACCAAAAAGAAATACCTAAGAAAAAGTAAGTATCACATGCTTAAGTAAGAATTATGTATAGTAAGTAAGAATTATATACAATAAGAAATTATGTGTATTATTGTTACAGTTTTTGTGCGTTAGATCAGTTACAAACTTTTTTCACTTCCTTCTTACTTTCAATTCCTTTTTTTCCTTTTATCGATTTAATTAATTATTAATAAACCTACAATAATGTCAAAATGCCAAATATGCCAACATATGTTTCCTTCTATACCTTCATATAATAAGCATCAAATTTTGCATAAAAACATGCATAGGAAAAAATTGTTATGGTTATTTTGTCTTGTGCAAAATCAAATTCATTTTAGTAAACGATTGTTACACAAATATATATTTTGTGGATACTACGATAGAAATAATATATAATTATGATTTTAGTGTATATGAACGATTTGAGTTAAAAGATCAAAAATATAATATCGATCGAATCTCTTTATTTCCATATTCCTCTTTACTAGTATCACATCCTGTTCTGGAAACCTGCTTAGCTTCTATTTCTATTTATGTCCTCAAGTATGTACCTTTTGATTCATAAAGTTGAATTTTAAAATTATGTAAGTAATATTTGAGCATTATTTTATTTATATCATTGTTTATATATTATATATTTATATTATATATATATACATCTTTTCTATTTTATAGATGTCATATTTATTTAAAGTCTGGTCTGCCAACAGAAAACAAAAAGCGTCACTTGTAATAAATGAATCTGATAACATGTTATCTCAGCTTATTACAAAAAGTAATATTAAACTTGTTATTACCGGTTCTATTCTTGTTATGGAAAAGGATGGTACAGTTGTCAACAATGATGATGTTTTAAAATTTTGTTCTGGCGACATTTAACATTTATATTACTACAACAAGAAGAAACTTGATTGTTTCCAAATGAAACGGAGTTATATAGTATAGTATCCTGCAACAGTTCGTCCTTAATTTCAACTTTAAACGAATCTACTTCTGATTCATCATTAACATCAAATTCGCAAAATATTTCATCGCCAACAAATCTATCACGTACTAAAATGCAAGTACATAATGAAGAAACGTGGACAAATTTTCATGTACCTTGGGAAGCCATAAAACCTACAGTACTTAAAGAATTAGTACTTAAAGAACAGGAAATTGTACCAAATATATAATACATGCTGTTGTAAATCGTACAATTTCTGAAATGAGAAATTTTAGCGAATTTATTCCGTTTCAAGATAATAGCTAAGAAGATTGTCGATAAATATCCGCAAATATTTAAAGATATGGACGAAGATGGTGAAAGTTTTGGAGATGGGATTCACACGTTATATTTAAAACTTCGTGATAGAAATAGTTATCTTAATAGACCACACATGAAGAGATCTTTAAGTCGAACTTTAAATATACCATTAAGGAAACAAAGAAAAATTTTATCTGCCAAAGTTGGATGTAGCAATTGGCAACCGGAACAATATGTTGATTCAGAATCCGAAGATACAATTGAAGACAAGATTAAATTTGTACGCCGAATGGTTCTACAGGGTTCTCCAACAATTGATACTGAACAAAATAAAATTTATTCATATATGGAAATAACATATCCTGCACAAAGATTATTCCTCAATAATGTTCATAAACCGTCAACAATTCAAGATATAAAAACCTCATGGCAAATACTTTTACGAAAAAGATATATGTTCTGGCATTACCAGAAACTAATGGGACATTCTATAAATGTTCTACAAGAACAAATGTTAAAAAAGGGCTGAAAATGCTGTCTTATGGGCGTATGAAGAAATACCAAGATATTATTGATTCAACTTTTTTTTTTGGTGACGCAGGGGAAATCCATCATGGATACCCCCGACCCTTTGGGGGAGTCGGGGGTTATGTCGGACTCTTACTGACTAAAACCCCTGCGGAATGCC